AATCCAATATAAATTTATTATAGACGGACCAGGTCCAATCCAATATGTCATATTGGTCCATCCAGTCCATCCAAATGGATTTTGATTTGGAAAAAAAAGCCAGTCAAAATATCATTTGAAAAAAAAAAACTCAAAACAAGCCATTTAAATAAAAAAAAAGCTCATATAAAAAAGCAGAAAATCTCCATTTAACTTTTTACATTTGCAAGAAGTTATTTTGAAAAAAAAAAAAAAACTGATGACCAACCAAACACTAAAAAAGTGCTTTTTTTTTCAAAAAGTGGCTTTTTCAAATGACTGTATAAACAAAAAATCACTCCCAAACAAGGCCTTAGCTCTAATGATCCTAGCTTAAAAACTATTTGGTTCTTTGTACAATGGCCACACTAGTCTATCCTTGTCAACATAGCTAGATTGAACAACTGAGGTTTGGGGTTGCCTAAACCACCCTTAACTTTACTCTTGCAGATTTGATTTTAACTTATTCATCTTACTTTTGTATTATCCTAGTTTGTTTTTCCACCAAAACTTGTACTCTATTATAGCCCGAATCTCGCAAATTGACTTCAAAGGAATAGAAAACAAAACATGAAAATAGGAGTGACAAGATCAAACATCATCTTTGAGCCTGATTTCTTTGTCAGCTTTTAAGAGCCAAAGACYTCTCCAATTTTTAGATTTTTGGTTAATCCTATCAACTACATATTGAATTGATTCTCTCTTTAGATCTGCTAATGTCCAAGGGAAGCCTAAGATAGATAAATGGTTTCTACACTTTCTTAAATTTCAACTACTTTGCCAAGCAGTTTTGGATCCCGTGATGCATGTTGGAGATAAAATAAATTTCATATTTTCTATACCAATTATTTCTTAGAAGATTTTTTTTAGGCTTTAATTGCTTGTAAAAGTACATCCCTCTCTCTAATGCTGGAATTTGTGAACAGATAGCTATTATCAACTAAGAAAATATGAAAAGGGTGGATTGGGTTGGGTTGAGTTGGGTGATTATTGAGTATTAACCCATCCATATTGACCCTTTAACCCATTTGCCATCCATATTTATTGATATTAATGGGTCACTACCCACCCTAACCCTGACCCACCCATAATTATTGATATTAGTGGGTCACTACCCACCCTAACCCTGACCCACTGATATGATCCACCCTGACCTAGACTCTAATGTATATATCAATAAAAAAACATACAAAGTGATAAAAAGTTCAAAAAATATTTTTCAAATTAAAATGAAAATGCTCAAAAACACTGAAAATGATAAATATATTTCATGTAAAACATAAAATATTATAGGAAAAATAATAAATAATTAAATGAAAGTATCATTTCACATAAAAACAAAAAATTGTATAAAACATACAAAAATACAGAAAAATGTCAAAATTTGTGAAAATGCGGAAATTTAGAAAAATATAAAATATAAAAAATGAAAAATAGAAATTATATTAAAATAAAAATGTAAAAATTATAGAAAACAAACACAAAAATTGCAAATAAATAAAAATAAATAAAAGAAACATAAATTGCAAAAAAAAAAAAGACAGCAGAAATTATGAGACATTTCAAATTATTGAAAACACTAAAATGCAAAGGAAATACAAAAAATGAAAAAAAATAAAAATTGTAGAAAACAACAAAAATTATAGTCAAACAAAAATTGCAAATAAATGACAAAAGTACAAGAAAACCAAACATAAACAAACATGGGAAAATTACAGGAACTGATGGATTTATTTTTTTTAAATATAAGAAAATCGATGAACACAAATTTGGTTTTGAACCCAGATCTGTCATCGCCCTATCTTCACGGTGAACATAGATCTGGTACAAGAAAACTCAACAATGGAAAACCTTCCACCTTTCTGCCATGGCGGAAAGATTAAAGAGATCTACATGAATGCACCTCTAGAAGAAGAAGAAGAAGAAGAAATCATCAATGACCACTGGCTACTAAGAACAGATTGTCGGCTTCAGAGTGCCATGGTGGAAGATCTCCTCTCAACAATGGAAAACCAAACTTCAATCGAGACTCCTAACCCTTTTTTGAGTTTCAACCCTTCCTTTACCCAACTGACCCCAATTCATCTTGACCCTAATGGGTACCTTTGACCCAACCACCCGGACCCTTTTTCCCTGACCCTAATGGGTCACTCAATCCATATTGACCCGCYAACAAAATGGGTGGGCATAGTTCGATTGTAGTGGTGGGTCAGATTGATTGGGGTCAAGATTGCCAGCCCTAGATAAGGAAAATAAGAGTGCCATCTTTGTGAATTTTCACTCTGAACATGATTTTTTTACTAACAAAGTCATTATCAGAGCCGAAAAAGCTTCGGAAATAAGAAGAAACAAACAAAAAGAGAATCTCCTTGTGTGAGCCTTTGAGAAAAAAACAAATATTCTTTTTCTAGGAATCCCAATAACAAGGGTTTATAGGAAATGGTTGAGATTTATTGCATAATTCAGTGGATCTACTTATCTCCAAAGTCCACAATTTGCCAACTCTATCATATCTTATGTCTTTTTCCTGTCAAATTTAATGACCATTATACAGTTTTATTTTTATATTTGATTCATAAATTAAATTATTTCATGGGTAATGTTATCAGTAATAAGATTTTCTATGTTGTCCACTCGGATACTATTTGAGGTAGTTAAAAGATTAGAGAAGTCCCCCCAAATTTTTGAGATGCTGACACTCAGATTTGGGTACCATTCTTGTCCTTCAATTGGATAATTTGATCTTAGGCTCTTCCTTTAATAGTGGTATTATAAAATAATCTAGTGTTCCTATCACCATGTTTAGGCCAACTAACTCTTGATTTCTAGCATCTAGACTTTCGAGAATTTTTTCTCTCTCTTATTCGAGATTTAGCCTATGTTCTAGGGCTCTCACTTTGTCCCCTTCAAATTTTACTAGGGCCTTTTAGCATTTTTACCCTTAGCTCTTCTTTTATCTCATTGATTTTATCTTAGGCTTTACCAAAAACCTCCTTATTCCATTTTCTATAGGCATTTCACAACAATTTGTGTTTTTTAGTTAGTTGGGTTTGTTTTGGGGTAAAAGACTCAAACCTCTCTTAATATTTCATTTAAATACTGAATATTCCCTTCATTTTTCAAAATGGACTTAGACCTCTCTTCTCAGATGATGTCAGCGGATAAAAACCTCCTATCGTTAATTCTCTGAGTCTGGATTTTCTGCCTACGAGAACTCTGCTCATATTAATCGCAGTCATACATGGAGAACATCTCATCCTCTGCATAGTATTATTGTGGACAAACTTGAGCAGAATTCTTGTGGACAAGAGATCCAGAGTCTAATTCTCTAAATCATGTGCTGTTTAATTTTTTTAAATTCCAATCTTACCCTCCATTGTATTTGGTTGTCTTATACTAAAAAAACCTATCTTCATCGAGTAAAGGCAATCTTGAACAGATCCTAATCGCCGGCGTCCAACTCACCACTTTAATGGTGTTATGAAACAAAAATCAAACCCGAGGATCCTAACCCAACTATGGTTCTTGAAATAATAATATTTCAGTAATAAAAGAAATTAAAGCACCACTATTCGTTGATTTGATCATTTTGATATCTTACAACGTGAGATGTTATCAGAACTCCATTGGCGGCAATTGGATACAATGGTGATATCAATAACAGCGAAGGTTGAAGATGATGTTTTTTTTTTTTTTTTTTCTTTGAACTAATTACATATCAATCTAATTCCAAAATTGACTTGGGGTTTATTAGTCATTTTGCTTTTTCTGTTAGAGATAACAGTTTAAAATATCAATAACCGCAAGATCCTTCCATTTTTTACCAAAGTCAATTTTTTTTACTCTTCTCAAACTCTCCATACATGAAAGTGCAAGCCCAACTGCTTATTTGTTAATCAATTATAATGGTATATATGAATATATACTTTTGGTCCACATTTTTAATTATAAGATCAACATTGCTCTCCAAATAAGAGCAATAGTTCCAGCTGAAACCCTAGAGGCTAGAGTCAATTCCCCAACATTCCCATTGCCTAAAGCATCCAACTTTCCTTTATACTATTTACTAAGGCTGCATTTGGAAATGATGCAAATAGAGTGTAAATCCTGGTTCGGGGTGAATTTGCATTCTGGTTCACTTTTGCCTATATTTGACAATATTACATTTATGCATTGACAAATGATAAATTAATGCATATTTACATTGATAATAAGATGTAAAAGTACATTAATAAAAAAGAAGTAAATTTGCATTCAAGTGGGCTTTTGATATAAAAGGTATATGTTTTATTAGAATTCGTGTTTGCATCCATTACAGCTAAAAATCTGTGTAGTAACAAGATAAATTTACGAATACAAAACTAACCTAACTTTACAATTTATATGAACTGTTTTACACTCTAGATATTTTGCATTCACACTTATTTGCATCATTTCTAAGCACAGCCTAAGAAGAGCATTTAATTTGACAATGTTTGATTCTCTTATTTTTTTAAAATGACAAAATTACAATGAAACCCTAAAAGTAAATTCTATCAAACCCAAACAATTCCAACTTAGGATCCTCGTTATTAACCATAAAACTAAACTCTTGTGGCACAGTCCATTAATGTAGCTTGCACATCTATGGTCATCTTTTTTGAGTCCGGATTGGTGAATTGGTCGGAGACAAAATCATGCATGATATTGCCCAATCCGCTGTGCATGATTTTGTCTCCGGCCAATTTGGTTCCATCGATTTTTTTTTCCCTCCACCCCACCACTCCACCCAAATGGGCCCTGAATCAGTACAGCTATGGCGGCCTATGCCAAAATGTAAGGTCATACTTGACTGTGGGCCCACTACTGCACTGGCCCAAAATACATAGCCAGATCCGTTTCCGTTCCGAGCCCACGGAATCAGAACTCACGAGTCACCACTGAGCCTCACATCGGCTAGGCCCATTTACGTTTCCCATCCATTAGGCGTAGTTGTTTGACCAACTGAGTTAACACTGTGAAGGATCTCTGGTGCGTTGAAAATGGTAAGACTTCAGATCCAGCATTCTCAGTTATCAACAAATCACTCACCCTTTGGCTATCTTCCAGCAACGAACGCCAAGAGAGAGAGAGAGATAACAGAAGGCAAAATAAAACGTGAAAAGGAAAAGAAAACAATGATGATATCATGATAACCCACCTCACCAACTACCAGTAGTTAAATTCAGGACTAAGTAACAAACCACACCTGTCGGCAGCCCATGCAGACAATCTAAGACTGAGAGGTTGGGTGGGGTGACACAGAGGCAGAGATTTGAGTTTAGCTTCAGAGACAAGAATTGAATTTCAGACAGACAGCAGAAGAAGAAGAAGAAAGAAGAAGATATCGGTTTTAGTGTTTTCTAGCTTCAGTTTTTAGTTTGGGTTGCTTTGGATGCAATGTTGGTCCAAGACCGTTCATCCCCAAAACCATCTAAGCCTGACCTCAGAACACCGCCACCTCTCCCTACGGTTCGCTTCTCTGAGCCCAAAAACCTTGATTTCTGCACATGGATCTCCGAGAATCTCTACAAAATCGTCGCAATTATCCTCCTTGTCGCTGCCGTCGCCGTTCTTTTCTTCCTTCGCAACGTCGGTGACACTGCCGCTTTCCTCTGCTTCGAAACCCGAACGATGGAGCTCGAGAAGATTGCCTACCCTGAAATTAAATGGAATTCGATCCCACCCATTGTCGACAAATCCTCCCCTTATGCCTCTTTCCGCGCTGAAAGATGGATCGTGGTTTCTGTTTCCACTTATCCCACTGAGCCGCTTCGCAATTTAGTCAAGCTCAAGGGTTGGCAGGTCCTCGCAATTGGTAATTCGAAGACCCCTTCAGACTGGAACCTCAAAGGTGCAATTTTTCTCTCGCTAGAACAACAGGCCAATTTAGGGTTTCGAGTTGTCGATTACCTCCCTTACGATTCGTTTGTTAGGAAGACTGTTGGGTATCTCTTTGCAATCCAGCACGGAGCTAAGAAGATCTTCGATGCGGACGATCGTGGGGACATAATTGACGGGGATCTCGGCAAACATTTTGATGTAGAATTGATTGGCGAGGGTGCAAGGCAACAGCCAGTGTTACAGTACAGTCATGAGAATCCAAATCGAACTGTTATAAACCCTTACATTCATTTCGGGCAGCGATCGGTCTGGCCGAGAGGTTTGCCTCTGGAGAATGTAGGAGAGCTCGGACATGAGGAGTTCTTTACTGAAGTATATGGAGGTAAGCAATTTATTCAGCAAGGTTTATCAAATGGTCTCCCAGATGTCGATTCAGTTTTCTACTTCACACGAAAGTCTGGTTTGGAAGCTTTAGATATACGATTTGACGAAAATGCTCCAAAAGTGGCATTGCCCCAAGGTATGATGGTGCCAGTGAACTCGTTTAATACGATTTTTCATTCTTCTGCATTTTGGGCTTTGATGCTTCCGGTTTCTGTAAGTTCAATGGCCTCAGATATCTTGAGGGGTTACTGGGCACAGAGGCTTTTGTGGGAGATTGGAGGCTGTGTTGTTGTTTACCCTCCCACAGTTCATAGATATGATAGGATAGAGGCGTATCCGTTTTCAGAAGAGAAGGATCTCCATGTGAATGTGGGTCGTCTGATTAAGTTCCTGATTCAATGGAGATCTGGTAAACATAGATTGTTTGAGAAGATCTTGCAATTGAGCTATTCAATGGCGGAGGAGGGATTCTGGACCGAGAAGGATGTGAGGTTCACTGCTGCTTGGCTTCAGGATTTGCTTGCTGTTGGTTACCAGCAGCCAAGGCTGATGTCTTTGGAGCTCGATCGGCCACGGGCAACCATTGGTCATGGAGATAAAAAGGAGTTCATCCCTCGAAAACTACCATCAGTGCATCTCGGTGTTGAGGAAACAGGAACGGTAAACTATGAGATAGGGAACCTAATTCGCTGGAGGAAGAATTTTGGGAATGTTGTGCTTATCATGTTCTGTAGTGGACCAGTAGAACGCACTGCTTTGGAGTGGAGGTTGCTTTATGGAAGAATATTCAAGACTGTGGTTATTCTGGCAGAGCAAAGCAATGCAGATCTTGCAGTTGAACAAGGGAAATTGGACTTTGCATACAAGTAAGTTACTAATGTCCCATATATCTTTCTTCCATTTGTTCATTTATTTGTTCACAAATTTCTGGATGTCATTTAATTGGTGTATAACGTATTGGGACTGTTTTATGAGAGTATTCTGAATTGGGAATACTATGATTTTGTTCATTTGGCTTTAGATGTGTTTGACTCATTTTCTTGTGCTTCATTTATGAAGGAAAAATTTAAAAGACAAGAAAATATTACAGGCTTGTATCTATTGTATTATGAAATACTGTTATAAAAGGAGTATAGAAAATGAGGTGTAGAAATAATTGATGAAAGCATTGTTAATAATGTTTCCTACCAGAAATGGACTTGTTCAATGGAAAATCTGTGAAAAGAATTGCCTGAGAGTGCAAAACAAATATTGGATGTAAATTATAGTATCAAGGATAGTAAACTCTTCATATTATTACACTATTTTTTTTTTCTTCTTTGTTGTTCTTTAGTTATTGAGTTTCTGCAATCATCTTATGATAGCACAAAGTCATCCTTGTTTTCAACCCATGGGTCCTTTCTTAAACCATTAACAAGCCCATTCTATTTACTATTTCAGATCATATTTACCCATCCATTGGTTCCATCTCCCCTTGTTTTCTCCATTGTTCAAAAAACTTCTAAGTTCTGTCAATTCCTTTCTGTTGGGAACATTTAGGCTGAGTGTCATAAGCAAGTTGAGTATTTGGTGAGTTGGTTCTAGTTTGATATAGATCTTTTCAGCCACCACRATGGGTTATTGTTTATAGTTCCAGCATGATGTGGACGCGTATTGGGAGCAGCAACAATAATGATTCGGTGTTCTCATCCTATCCAATTCGGCAGCAACAGTCTCATCCATTCGGCTGATTAGATTAGACTATCTTGTTATTCCTATCTTATCTTATTAAGTTAGTAGATTAGATTATCTTATCTTATTAGATTAGGATTAAGAGAGACTTATCTTATGTTATCTTATTAGTTTAGTAGGATAGATTAAGGAAGTCTTATCTTATCAGTTCAGTAGGATAGATTAGTAGGGAGTCTTCCTAATTAGCAAGGAGTCTTCCTAAAAGTAGGACTCTTATCTCTTGTAATCTCCTATTTAAGGAGCTGAGAATATTGAATAAAGGCATCGAAAATTTCAGTCAAGAAGAGAGTAAGGAGAGTTAGGTGATCTCTTGGACAAATCACCATTAGGGCGGCCAAGATAGGTTCGTCAAGAGCAGGGAGGAACAAGGGAAAATTGGAGGTTTTCCCCGTGGACCGACCCGTGACGAGATCCTATTCGCGGCCCATAGCACAACATCAATCCAAATGAGAAGAAAGTTTATGAGATGGTTGTAGGATCACATAATGGACTATGAAGTAAAATGTTGGGAAGTCACACAATAGTGTGCCCAGAAAATGAGTGTGGGGAGATGGTGGAGTGATGAGACCAAAGAGGGTCTATGATGCCCAGATATGGCAAGGATACAAGTGGACAAGGTGTCAGTCAGGGAATTTACATCATCAAGTGAAGTGTTGGACATGACACTGACACCCATGTAGAGGCATCGGGGCATCATATGAGAGGATGCATTTATAGAAATGAAGATTGACTAAGGTAATATTTGATAAATTGAGGAAAGCCACTAAGATGGTGTTGTCTTGTCCATGGATGGCCACCAATTGCACCAATGAGGAGTTATCTTATGCAAGTCAAAGGTTCTAGAAGATTAAAGCCTTTTGTATGCCATCTTATGAAAAGAAAAGCATGCTAGGATATTTCAGAATGAGGCAGGATCCAGATTCTAGTACTGAATTCCTGTTAGCATTTAATCATCCATTTGGTTTATAGACTAAAGATATTTACAGAGGTTACACTTGGCACAAACGCCCTTATCATTGACATTGAGAGTCAAGCTATTGGTTTAGAGGCATATCAGGTAAATGCATTGAGGAGGATTCCTATATTATTATAGGATGGACAAAGACCTAAACAAACAGAAATAGTAAAGACTGGCAGAAAATAGACAAAAGCCATACCATGTTGACCCTGTCCTTCAGCCCCTGCAAAAACCAACCAAGAGCAACCACCTCTCTGGCTTTACTTGATAACCCTCTTGACATACTTATTTAACTTCCACCCATTTGCAGGTCCATTTTTCCCTGCCAGGTTAGTGACATTCAGATATAACTTGCCACTCACAATGTCTTTTCCTTACCTGATAATTTTCTTTAGACTAATCAGACTTTCTTGGTCTCCGGTTCAGCTTCCACTGCCTCTTGATATTCCTGGTTCCCCTAAACTGCAGACATTTCTTCCCATTCTTTCTCCTGAGTCCCATCTCTTTTTTATTGCTTTAAACTAGTGAAAGTGAAGCTGCCCCCTCCCCCACTTCCTCCCAAAAGATAAAAAATGAACAGACCTCTCCTTAGTTCAATGCCTCAGAGGCATGCCCGAACTTACTTGCTTTTGAACCTTGAATATGTCATCCGATTTCCTACTTTAAGAAGTGATTAAGTATCTTTCTCATTCTTAGCAGAAATCAAGATTGCATTTGGATAACCAGAAGCTTCTTGCTAAAGATGGAAGGGTCAGTTGACTGTTGACCTCAACAAACAATTGGGATGATCTTCTAATAGAAAGTAGATTTCCCCGTCATTTCATAGTCCAGAAAAGTTCCATTGGGATGGGGTTGCATTTAATGTACTACTTTCTTGAAGGGAAAAGATATTGAGGAGAATAAATAATTTTAATGCTAAATTGGATGGGAAGAATTGTACATACTTACATCATAGTTGTCAAGGCGACGCCTAGGCGACAAGGCGCCGTTTGAGGCTCGCCTCGCCTAATCGCCTAGTTGTTTTCTACTTCCTACTATAAAATACTTTTTTATTCATTCTTTTTTGAGATTATAATTATAAAATAGACATTATTAAACTAAAATAATCATTTTGTGTGTTTATATACTAATTTCTTTTTATTATTTTCTTATTTATTAGAGTTTAATCAACACAAACATTGTTAAATGCTGTATTGAACCCTCAAAGACTTAAAAACCTGAAACAATAAGGAAGAGCTAAAAATTTTATCTAATCAGCACATTTCCCTCTTCCATATATTCTTCTTCTTCTTCTTCTTCTTCTTCTTCTTCTTCTTCTTCTTCTTCTTCTWCTACTACTACTACTACTACCAATACTTTTTATTTTCTTCTTTTCCTATAACAAARATAAGGGTTCAACCCCTATATTTTTTGAATTTTATTTTCCTTCTTCCTTTTCTTCTCATGAATATGTTGATTTTCTATACTTTAATATGAAATTTATACTTTTCTTATGAAAACCATGAATAATTATTAAAGAAATATGGTAATGGTACCTAGGGAACTACCCTAGGATCTATATTTTTAACATAAAAATCCATCGCCCAGGTGACTAGGCGACAAGGCGCCCCCCAGTCGCCTAGCCTTGCCTTGGCGCCTTGAAAACTATGAATTATATATATACACATCCTGTAAAAAACAACCAAAAATAAAACAAAAATTAAAAGAGGATCAGAACAATTGTCCTTGAGAAACTAGCGAGAAGAATAGAGAATGGTGGGAACAACACAATTCGTTAGTAGAATGGGAGGGTATGAGATTCCACAAGAAGATTCAATTCCTAAAATCCCAAATAAAGGAGTGAAACTGTTTGGAATTTGGAAGAGTGGAGGAAACAAAAAAGGTTCTAATGGAGCAGATTGAGGAACTAGACTTGAAGGAGGAAAGGGGTTCTTTTGGAGAGGAAGACAGAGAATTAAGATGGAGTGTTAGGAAGTAGCTGGAGGATCTTTTGTTGTAGGAAGAAATAAGTTGGAGACTGGAGTCTAGATGTAAATGGTTAAAGGAGGGAGATAGAAACACTAGGTTTTTTAATTCTGTGGCAAACAATAGAAGGAAGAATGTCATTTCTAAGCTAGAAGTTGAAGGAACTGTTCTTTCCCACCCGATAGAAATAGCAGAGGCTTTTGCAACTCATTTTAAATCTATTTTTGGAAGGCCTTTAAATGAGAGGGTTTTGGTGGAGGGGCTGGAATGGCCAACTCTTAGTGTAGAAAGCAGAGTGGGGTTAGAGAAGAATTTTGATGTAAAGGAGATAAAGGAAGCAGTGTTTTTAATTGATAGGACGAAAGCTCCAGGTCCTGATGGATTCACAATGGCATTTTATCAGGATTGTTGGGATATTGTGAAGCAGGATCTAGTGTCGGTTTTTGAGGAGTTTCATAAAAGGGGAATTATTAATCGAGGTTTAAATTCCACATTCATTGCATTGGTCCCAAAGAAGAAAGAGGCATCACAACCAAGGGATTTCAAACTGATTAGTTTGGTGAATAGTTTGTACAAGATAATTGCAAAAGTGTTGTCTCTAAGGATCAAGAAAGTTCTTCCAACCATTATTACACCCAACCAAGGAGCTTTTGTGAAGGGAAGGCAGATCACTGATCAAATTCTAATTGTGAATGAGAATTTGGAGAGCTTTAGGAAATCCAAGAAAAGGGGAGTGGTATGCAAACTAGACTTAGAGAAGGCTTATGACCTAGTTGACTGGTCCTTCTTAATGGAGGTGATGAGAAGTTTTGGCTTTGGAGACAGATGGTGTAGATGGATTTGGGGTTGTATTAGGTGTTGCCATTATTCGATCTTGGTGAATGGAATTGTGGTGGATTTCTTTCCAACCGTGAGAGGAATAAGATAAGGTGATCTTCTCTCCCCCTTTCTTTTCACTCTGATTGCAGATGTCCTGGGGAGACTAATCAATAGAGTTGATTCTAGAAACTTAATAAGAGGATGGAGAGTTGGAAGGGGGGAAGTACCACTTACACACTTGCAGTTTGCAGATGACACAATCCTGTTTTGTGGAGGTGGGGATCTAAATTGGATTAGAAACTTAAAATTGACAGTACAACTCTTTGAGCAAATGTCTAATCTTAAAGTGAACTTCGATTAGAGTTGTGTGGTGGGAATGAATTTGGAGGAGAGGGAAGTAAGTGATTGTGCAGGTGTATTAGAGTGTGCAATCTCGGATTGGCCTATCATTTACTTGGGCCTCCCCCTAGGAGATAACCCCAGGAATGAAAGCTTTTTGAACTCGGTAGTAGAGAGATTTGAGGAAAGGCTTCCTTCTTGGAGGAAAAATTATCTTTCTCTAGGGGGAGAATCACCTTAATTAGATCTACCTTATCTAATCTTCCTGTTTACTTCATGCCAGTGTTTAAGATTCCCACAAAGGTCTCCAACAAGGTGGAAAAATTAATGAGGGACTTTTTATGGGAACCAGGAGTGGAGAAAAAAGACCATAGGGTGAGTTGGGAAGTGGTAAATAGGAGCAAGAAGCTAGGGGGCTCGGGATTGGGAATATTAGGAAAAGAAACATGGCATTGTTGGGCAAATGGTTGTGGAGGTTTCCATTAGAAAGGGACAAATTGTGGATGAAGATTGTGGCTAGCATACATGGGTTGGATGAGAATGACTGGGATCTAGGAATTTTGGCAAGGGCTACTACCGCTTCCCCGTGGAAAGCCATTCATGATCTGCTTCCAGTTTTCTCCCCTTGGATCAGGTTCGATTTGAACTCCGGTTATCGAATAAAATTCTGGGAGCAAATTTAGGTTGGGGACTTACCCCTAAGAGACCAATTTCCCTCTTTGTTTGCTTTGTCAAGTTTGAAAAATGAACCCATTTCCTCTTTCTTAGTTCCTTCTGATTCTTCTTCTGGTTTTGGGTGGAATTTGGGCTCGAGAAGGGCAATTAGGGATACAGATTTGGGGTGTATTTCATCTCTGCTAGCCATCTTTGGAAATGTTTTCTTGAACCCCAGTAAGGAAGACACCAGGATCTGGACCCCTTCTCCGACTCCTTCTCTTGTGCTTCATTTTTTGAGACATTAGTTCAACCTACTATTCCTCTTGGGTTGTCATTCCCTTTTAAAGAGATTTGGAGCAAACTCATTCCTCCTCGGGTTGGTAGTTTTTGTTGGGAAATTTTCCTGGAAAGAATTAACACAAATGACTTGCTTCAAAGAAAGAGGCCCAATCGTTGTTTACTTCCCAATAGGTGTATTCTTTGCAAAGATGATGGAGAAACGGGTTACCATATTATGGTTACTTGCCCAGTTACTAAGACTATTTAGGAGTGAGTATACTTGGAATTCCCCCCGTGAGTGTGCAATGCTTGTTCTCTCCCTCGTTCTTTAGATGGCCTAAGAAAAGGGGGAAGGTTATGTGGAGGAGCATTAGGGCTGCTGTGTGCTGGTCAAAATGGGAAGAAAGAAACTCACGATTTTTTTTTAGACAAGGAAAGAACCACAGAAAACCTAATAGACTTGATGCACTTAAGGGTAGCTCACTGGCTGAAATCAATGGAGATATTCTCTGAATTTTCTATGGCTGACTTGTTGAGAAAGTGGAAAGAGGTAGCTACTGCCCCCCCCCCCTTCCGCTGGATTCATAAAAACTGAATTTTGATGGATGTAGCTTAAGGAATCCAGGGCCTTCTGGGATTGGGGATGTGTTCAGGAATGAGGAGGGGCATTTTGTTGCCATTTTCTCTGGGCCAATTGGAGAGGGTGACTCTCTTAGGGCCGAAATTCTAGCAGTTCTTGAAGGAATCCAAAGAGCAAGAGAATTAAGCATCAGATGCTTAGTTATTGAGGGGGACTCGGAGGTGGCTGAAAGGAGACTACAGTGGTTTGTGGAGCTACAGCAATGAAAAGAAAAAATTTAAATGGCTGAGTAAGGATTTAGAGGTGAAATACAGCTGGGTGAAGAGAAGTGCTAACTCAATGGCTGATGGGTTAGCTAAGCAAGGGGTGGCTAAGGATTCTTTGTTTTGGGCTAATCTTTAGTTTCTCCTTTGTCCTTTTGTTGTTGGGGAGTTAAGATAGTTTACCTCCCCTATTCTGTAATTAAATTTCACAAATATTATTCATTAATAAAGCTTTCTGTTATTGATCAAAAAATAAATAAATAAACCAGGATGTAACTAATGGCCTGTTGTTGCTTTTGTATAAAGTATGTTTCAGTCTTGAGACTTGGTATGTAAAATTCCCATGTTGCTCAATTTTGATACTGCCTTGCAAATGATTTCAATGGATCTCTTAGCAGCTATAATGACCAGTACTGTCACAGAGAATAATATGGAAAACAATAGTGCAACTGTCCATTTCCTTGGGTCCCAGATCTGGGAATGGGTTTGAGTATCCTATTTAATATCCTTGTATTATGTTTTTATATCTAGTTTTCAAAGTTGAAGTGTCATTTCTCAATACTAATAACTTGCCAAATTTATTTGAACTTCCACAATATATAGGTTTTATAGAACTGATTATTAAAATATAACAATTTACATATTTCTTGAAGTGTTAAACGCATACTCTGGGAGTAAACATGCAGTATCCAGTGTTGTCTCGGGTATGTATCGTGCTTGACAGTTGACACTCGTATGCTACGAAGTTTTTTTAAAGTATATTAGCTTTGCAGCACATCTTAAGGAAGTTTTAAGGCTTTTCTTTTCCCAAGCATTTTCTCAAGTGTAAGATGAGTTTTACTTGTAAAGTTTATTGCAGATGTAATTGAGTTGTTTTTTTCCTGTTATTTTCTCTGGGTATCCTAAAATCATGATTAAAATTATTAGGGGTATTTTGTAGGCTTGTAGCTTAACTCTCCTAAGCTTGAGATTTTAGATTTTTTTCTCTTAACCTTTATCCCATATTATTGCAGTCAGAGTTTCTTTGGCCAATTAGGTTCTGTCAATGGTTTTTGTTGTTAACAAAAAGCAACTGCTACAATTGCCACATCATTAAGACATGTAGCAAATCAGACCCAGCATGAATTCAATGTAAATACCAAGGGAAATTATATGTGTAGTGTGAAATTGTAATGTCTTATCAATTGAGGGTGTCTCAGTGGCCCATCTAGAACTGATTATTAGCTTTCTATACCCTGGAGATGTTTCTTTCCTCGACATTTTGTTGTAGTAAAGCCTCCATATGGCATGTGCAGGTATCTGCCCAAGATATTTGATCGGTTTACAAGTGCAGATGGATTTCTTTTCCTCAAGGATGATACTATCCTTAACTACTGGAATCTGTTGCAAGCAGACAAGAGTAAGCTGTGGATCAATGATAAGGTAATAGACCACTAATAGCTCCCCAGCATGCTTATCTCTCTATCTCTCTCTCTCTCTCTAACAAACTATGTTATGTTTATGTTATTCAGGTGACCAATTCTTGGTTCACCGTTCCAACCTCCGGTAAGGACACAGAGTGGTTTGCCAGTCAAGCAGAAATGGTCAAGAAAATAGTGAGCACATTACCTGTTCACTTTCAGGTCAGTTACAAGGAAAGCAACACTGATGAGCAAAGACTGACTCTAAGCACATCCGAAGTATTCTATGTGCCCCGACGCTTTTTGGGGGACTTCATTGAACTTGTAGGTCTAGTGGGCAAGTTGGATATTCATCAGAAGGTTGCAATACCCATGTTCTTCACGGCCATGGATTCACCACGTAATTTTGATTCTGTGCTCAATACAATGATCTATCAATCAGAACTACCGGCTAATAATTCCTTGAGCTTTTATTCAGCCCAAGCACCTACAGTGCATCCATGTAAGGTATCCAGTGAGCCTGAATTCATACAGCTGATTAGAGTCATGGCAGAAGGTGACCCACTTCTAATGGAGCTAGTTTGAATTTAGAGGAGGTTGTGGGTACATTTAGATTCAAATAGAAAAAAAAGCAAGAAACGTGTTACCACATTGTTTACTGTTACACCAAATTCTGTATTTTTGTTTCTTTATTTGCCTTCTTTTGGGGGAGGGAGAGGGATAATTTTAGCTTGTAGATTTTTGTTGTATTATTATTCATTTACTTTGTGGGGATTTCCCCCAAAAACAGTTGTGTTTTATCATTTCAACTATCTACGAAAAGGGAATGAAACACAGCTCTATCCACGGCTCACAAATATTCTGATTGCATATTGCAAGTCAATGGATGTACAGATAATGTGCTTTTGAAGTATTGTTTTGCTTGGGACTTTGGAGACTCTCAAATAAGTGAAAGTGTAACAACCCAATTTCTACATGTATCACAGACATGGCCAAGTGACCCCCTCTTTTGTGCTTTATCTCGAATTCGTGGGCTGCAATAAATAAGATTGAATAAGATCCGAAATTTGATCCACTAGCAGATGCCATATCAGATTGAATTCAAATTTACAATTCCAATAGGGACAAACAGAAAAATTCTACTGTCCTAAAATTCTATATCTTGAATCTCATGAACCAGCTCAGTACCGAGAAAAAAGACCTCATGAACCAGCTCATAACACCATTGCTAGGGTCCCCAAGAAATGCTTACAACTGATTGCATTATCCTCAATTCCTCACCACGATCATGGAATCATATCTCCACCACGAGGTTTTTATTTATTTTTTTATGAATAAACAAAATATATTAAAGACAAAATTCATACAACCAGTTCAGTTGGCCGTACATGAACTTGGCTATTTGGTTCTTAAAATTGAAGGAAATTTTGTTTCATGAAAATACAATATGCTTTCACTTAGCACTACCCTTTCTAGTCTGTGCAAATGACTTCAAGTGAGAACGGAGGGTTGTTGAAGGCTTTATTTAATCACATGACCACTTTATATCACTATGTAATGAGAGGATAAAGGATGGGGTAGGACATGAAAGATATTAATACTAACAAAAGAACGGTGATGGGTGTTCTAAGGTTCTTTAAGTTCAAGGGAAGTATCATCGGTTTTCATTAAGTTGTGTTAGTGGAAAAAATTTTTTAGTATAATTTCTCACATAACATAATTCACCCAATTAGACTAATAACTAGGTTTTTTTGTTATTTGGGTAATCCTCATTCGGGAAATCATGTATATATTCCCTTAATTACATCTCTGTTAGGGGTAGAGGAAACCTTTCGATTTTGATTCAAAAGTACCAATGAATAGAGACTAAACTAAGTATGAATTTTCTACAGAATTTTCATGAAAATTCTGGTATATATTCCCTCTTTATTTGAAAGAAAACCAGCATATAAAGAAACAAACATTGTATGCATAACAAGTAAATAGATATCATAAAAAACATGTTTCATCAATAAGGATACAAATGACCTTTAAATTATGGTTGTGTGCATTATCATGCTATGAGGAACCATAATCAGCCAAGTCTCATGAACAAAGTTGTAGATCTTTTTTCCCCTCACACATAGGTTAGTAGGTTGTAAGGAACCATAATCAGCCAAGTTTCATAAACAAGGTTGTAGATGATTGCCTCCTTACATATATTTCAATATGAAACAAGGAAGAAAAAAAATAAAAGGAAGAAAGAAAGGAATGAGAGGAACTGATAGAATATGGGCTTCTATCTCATGTGAGAAGCACAAGGAGTATCATATTGAAGAGGTATAGGAAGAACACAAGATCCCCTACCTTCTTCTTCCTTTTTCTTTTATTCTCTCCACACCAATCCTCTTCTCTTTACTCTTCCCACTTGTTTCTTAATACTAGAAATCCTGCAAATCAATTAGTAATAACCAACAAAAAAGGCATTAGCCCTTTATCCTTGTAGGAAAGGGGTTTATATAGAGGTGGGAGGTGGTTAAGTAACTCCCAATTCCTCTTTTCTTAGGGTGTGAAGTGTCACCCCACTTAAAATGGGTTAAGGAGGGAAAATAAAGCTTTTCCTTCCTAAAGTGACAAATGTCCCCCCACTTCAAGTGGTTAGAAGAGAGAAAATAACTCCTTCTTCCTAGGGTGGCATGTGTCCCCCTCTCACTTTAAGTGGTTAGAGGAGGGAAAACAAATCCTTCTTTTTAGGGTGACATGTGTCCCTAAAAATTTGTCCTATTAGGCAGATCCTTCATTTTTTTTTCTGTCAGTGAATAATTTGTCCAACCCGTGGACTTAATTTGAATGGATAAGTCAGGAATAATCTGATTCCTGATTGTAGTTACAGAATTTTTTCCATTTTTTTTTTCATTTAATTCATATACTTTAAAAAATCCAAATAATGGAATTATAGTTACTTTTGTAAATTCTTTCATTATTMTTTTTATAAATAGAACTTTTTTTCCCACTTAAAGTGGTTAGAGGAGGGAAAATAAATCTCCCATAGGGTGACATGTGTCCCCCCACTTCAAGTGGTTAAAGAAGGAAAATAGTCCTCTTGTTAAAATAGGACAAGTGGCATCCCCTCATAAATAAGTGGGATACCTCACAAGAAATTAATTAAAATGGATTTATTCTTCTAGGGCCTGYTGTTCCACTAAATGGGCTCTATTGCAGGCCCATTAAATGCTTATTGCATTATAAATAAGCCCAAATAACTTGGGGCCTATTGTTCACTAAACTAGACTGCATACCCCTTTCTTTATTAAAATGTTTCGACCTACCAATATGACTGATTGGGCTTATAAGAAAGCCCTTTTCTCTTCTTTATTATTATTATTTTTAAGCTGTGATTGGGAGTATCTTAATTCCCAATCCAACAAATTTAAGGACTTAATAGTGCCCCCTTGAGCACTGTGAGCTCAAAAAAAGTAGCTTGAGATTGCAGTGCTCAAGCCATTTTTAATTGATTGGGGCAAATTTTTGTGAACCGGACTTGATTAAGACTTAAAGTTGAAAAAAAAAACCTTCAATGGGCTGAAAATTGTAAAAGAAAAAGGCCTACCCATATATTGTTAGGCTTTCTTTTATTATTAATGGCCTATATAACTTAAGTGTGGCCCATTATCTAATGGACCCAAAGAACTTTTATATGGGCTTAAGAAACTTGTGAATATGGGCCCATACATAAAGTGTRGCCCCATGTTTTAAAATTGAAGTTGGCCCAAACTATGTATTAATGGGCCTACAAGCTTTTAATGTAAATGGGCTTTAAAAGCTTTTAAATAAGTTAAGTATAGACCATTATTTAAAGTGTGGTCCCATACTTTACACTTGTCTTTATGGGCTTAAAAGAAAGGCCCAAAAAATAAAAAAATGGCCAGCTGTCCATTAGTTAAGTAAACAAAAGTCATACTATGATTAGGACTTCTGTTTAGATAAACATAAGAGCTAGCACATTTCCAACTTCCTTATCTCATTACTCCAGTCAAAAGAGAGAAAAGAAAAGGAGATACTTAGCAAAGAAAAAGAGACTCAGCCTTATTGAGTCAATCTCTTTCACGTATAGGTTCCAAAAAGAGAGGGGGATATTATTTCTCAAAGAGCTGTTGCACCTTCAACAACTCTATCTTTTCCAGATCTTAGGTATGCTGTTAAATTTTGGTTAAAAAAAACAAATAACGTCTCTTTCTTTTCTTTTCTTTTTTTTTTATTACTACTGAATCCTTGAATCATTAAATAGGATTGCCTTTTTTATTTCAACCTGTTTTGGACTGAATTATCTTTTCCTTTGACTTCTGTCAACAGAAAAAGACTGAATCCTAAAGCTATTAAATAGGAATTGGTCTGYTTTTTTTTTTACTACTGTTACAAAAAAGGCTGAATATGATTGTTTTTTTTTTAACTGCTGTTAACAGGAAAAGGGCTGAATATGATTCTGCCTCTTTTCATTTTTTTTTACTTTGACTTTTGTCAACAACAAAAAGGCTGACCCTTTAGATCATTTAATATGGTTCTATTTGAAAGGATTTCAGTTCTAATATTCCCCTAATCCTGGAGTTTAGAATTGTGATTTTTTTTAATCACTAGCGAAAGAGGCTTAACTTGATCTTTAACATTGCACTTTGGGCTGTTTTACAAACATTCCCATTCTCCCTAAGAATGTTCAGGGTTGCCCTAAAATATTAGAGTAAAACTATTTTAGCCCAAGACATTTAGTGATCTCCAGGCTTAAGACACTTAGTGATTTCCAGGTAGATCATAGATAAAAAATGAAAATCAGATCGGAAATAAGATAAAAAATAATTTAATGGTTTTGATGATGTCATTGAGAATTAAAAACCCATATAATAATCAAGGTATAGATGATTAGGGATTAATGGTTCTGATGATCTCCAGGTGTAGATCATCATATAGAACCAACATAAAAAATCAGGATGAATGATTCTCAAAGATTAATTGAAATTCAGGTTCCGATGATCTCTAAGTGTAGATCATCATATAGAACTTATCAAGAGTTAAAATGCTAAAAATCAAGTACGGGTTCTGATGATCTCCAGACGTAGATCATCACATAGAACCCATCAAAGATTAAAACGATTAAAATCAAGTACATGTTCTGATGATCTCTAGGTGTAGATCATCATATAGAACCTATTAAGAGTTAAAATGCTAAAAATCAAGTATAGGTTTTGATGATCTCCAGGCATAGATCATCACATAGAACCCATCAAAGATTAAAATGATTAAAATCAATTACAGGTTCTGATGATCTCTAAGTGTAGATCATCATGTAGAACCTATAAAGATTAGCCTTAGGGTAAATGTCAAAGTTAAAGACTCTAAATCGAAATATACTTAATCAGATCTCACCATTAACATTATCTTGCTTTCATGAAATTATTCAGATGGCAGATGTACTCGAAGTCATACGAAAGAGCATCAGATGAACAAGGAAATGAAGGGAATATTGGGTCTATTTTGGTGAGATCTATTTCTTGTAGGAGGTTTATGTCATCTCCCCAAGAAAAGACTTTAGAGACGTGGATGCCTCAAGCTAGTGCTCCTTTAGGAAGTTTGAAGCTAGTGCTCCTTTAGAGATCTGTTTCTAGTAAACTTGAAGTATCCACTTCTAGTGGTAATTCTTTAGATATGCTAATGTTGGAGAAGGTTGACACTAGTTCCAGTGCTGTGGTGAATGTACCACTGGATGAAAGCAAAGATCTTACTTTTTATCACATGTTGAAGCAAGGAATTCGATGGAATAATTTCCAAATTTAGGGGTTGTGCTCAATTTTTGCCCCTGCTGAAGGATTGGAAAAAACTCATTCTAAGAGACCATGAAAAAGTATTGTTGGCAGCAAACATATATGGTGCAGTTGGT